GGGCACGGCGGGGTCTCCCTGCCGCCGCCTCCCGGGAGAGCACCGTCCCGGCCCGTTGGCGTGCAGGGGGCGTGTTGCATCATACGTCCCAGCGGTCACGGGCAGAGCTGGGTCCTGCCCCCCGTCCCCAGACAACACTTGGCGGCCCCACGTCCCCAGGAGGCCGAGTGAGGGCCCCTTACCAGGCGGGATGGCCTCGGTCTGCCTCCCCACAGTACCCCCGGGGGCTCGGGTCTGGGCCCTTCGCTGTCCCTGGCTCCAGGGACATCCGTGAGCTCCCCAAGATACGCCTTCTTAATAGCCTCTGGTTTGCCACCTTACTTTAGACGTCCACCTGGCTGCGAAGTGGATTGTTTCAGGGTTTTAAGGTTTTGGCTTTATTATTGCTCAGCCGAGAAACAGGGCTATTTTGTGGCGTGGTAGTCACCTTCTGGTACCACTTTAAGGACAGGGCAGCTGTCAGAATGGCAAGAATCAGCTGCACGCAGGAATTTTGTTAGAATAGATTCTGGTTGGTGTAATGTTTGTGTGCATGATAGTGACTAAGTAGAGCCGGCCTGGACATTCTTTCAGAAGTATTACTGCTACCTGTTATGTCTTAAGAAATTTGGTTTTATTGCAAACCTTTTTTAGATTTTTTTCTATTTTATTTTTCACATCTACCATAACTTGAGGTGGACACCCTTTCTCTCATCAAAATTTAAAATGTAGACCCTTGCTTTCAGGGGCACAGAATAAGGTATCTCTTCTCGGGGCTTCCCCAGCTTTGTTTACCTGTGGTTCTGCTGGGGGAGGACAGGTGAGAAAACTTGGTAGCTCGCTTGTGTGTTACCTCACCTGTCCTCAGTGCTCCTCTGAGTTGGAATGGGAACAGGCCTGTGGGTATCCACAGAAAAATAGCAGCCAGGGATGTGGGGAAGAGGGTCCGTGGTGCGTAGTCCTACTTCTGCTACCAGCGTACATTAGATAGCCTGCCCTACCCTGTATACCATTGAATTAAAGCAGTTGTGTTCTGCTGTAGCCTGATGGGATCAGCAAGGGCACCGTCTAGGCCTTAAGACTTAAATTGTATTTCAGAATAAATCTAAATGTAAGACAAAACATGGACTATTTACGGATTATGTGATGTGATGGCTGCAGTGGAGAAAGATGACTTGGCTCAGCAGGTCACTTCTCATCCAGTCTTCTGAACGTATTAACTCACATACTTTGCTTAAGCCTCCCTGAATTAATTTGGAATCAAAGATCCTGCCTTTTCCATTTTAAATGCAAGAGAAGGGAGGTGCTCAATTAAATGAAAAGGACATTTGCATAGCTAGGAA